CAATGAAATGTATGGACGATTTTCACAATACATGTCAAAGGTAGGAACGTTTTGTGCCAATTACCTTAAATTTAAAATAAAAATTGTATCCATTCTTTCACTATTGCATTAGGTTCATAATAAAATAAGTCGTAGTCATAATATTTAATTAATTATTATACATTATTCCACTTGCTTTTTAACTTTTGGAAAAATACAGTGACCACAAAGTTAATGATCTTGATGAAATAATTGTAAAAGATCACTACTTACGACAAAAAAAAATATGAAGAATTATCTACAAAGACAAATCATTATGTCATTTCCAAAAAATAAATGAAAACACAGACGTTTCTAACAAGAAACAATATCATAATTAGTGTCGGTGTCCAAAGAATTGAAAGAAATTAATTTGATAAGAATGTTAGTTCAAGATTTATAATTTTGCAGTATTATTTAGGAAGAAAAATTAGATATTTTAGATCCCAGTTTTCTAAAGAACACTTCAGATGGCACAATTAACAACAACAACGACAACGACGACAACGACAACAACAACAATAATAATAATAAAAACTTACCCCGTCAAAAGATGAGGAATTCTATATATGAAAGATTTAATACCAACACTTCATGTGCTTTATTCCTCATAATTGTTCATCGAGTGAAGCGTTTCTCCAACTTCTTGTCACTTTCGACTCACTTTTTATAAGAGGGATTTTGTATACATGTGGTTGTAGCCCAAATTTGAACAGTTTAAACTTTTAAATGACAAAATGTGATGCGTATATATACTTGTAATTAATTCATTCTTGGATGGCTATATTCCACATCCCACCACGACTAGTCGAATATTTAAAAAAGACAAAAACATATTCTTTACACGCAGAAATCTTTTGTCTGAATATTATTTGTCTCATTGAATATTAAGAAATGAACTAATTAGTTAAACTTTTTCCATTTAGATCCAACTTTCACTATAGCAGATGAAGACTTGAAATCCCTTTGGATGAAAGGAATTTAGCTAGACATCATTATATTTTTTTTTTCACTTTTGTAAAAGTCAATAATAATTGAAAGAGGTTGTTGGCCTATAAATCTTGTCACAAAATTTTTTCCACCCCAAATAAAATTTGTAACTTAAAAAAAAAAGGTTCTTTGAAATGAATTATTATTAATTAATTTTTATATGCTTTAAAATCATTTCATAATTGCAACTTTATTGAACTTTTGTTACTACTTCATTTGAATTAACTTTGACATAAATGGCTAAGCATGTGATTAAATCATTTCCCTATTTTAAGAAACAATATCCATTGATTTGAACCCTACGTGCACCTGAAATTATGGGGACTTTTAACCCGAGTGGGTTTCAATTTCAATATCTCTTGACTAATTGTGAAGTTTCAACATGGTATCGAAATCCAAAAAATTCAGACGAGCAATTGACTCATCTAAAGTTCAAAGTTGAAACGGAGGATTTCCATTGATGTTTTCATACAAACAACCATCATGAGGGGCTTTTCACGGGTAAAATCTCGCATTCACGTAAACACAAAAATAAGATTGAACACGGTATTCGGGTTAGAAAGAGTCAAACAAGCAATCAATAAGTCTAAAGATCAAATGACTAATTGAATTACATGATTAATGTTATCTAATAAGTCAACATCTTTTGAGACATATTAAGGGTAAATTAATCTTGTGCCATTTAAACACGAAAATAATAATTAACATATAAGAGCTAAAACTTGTCCTGTTAATACCCTTAAGATGAAACTTCAAGACTCAATAGTAATTAAACGCTCGTTTGTTGACATGTTCCGTGCACAACACTAGCTCGATTCTCCTTCCATGTACTTCTCTCTTTTAGTCTCATTCATACCATCATTAATACAAACATGCCCCAACTCTTTATGCAGGCGAGAGAAAGTAATGCATTTTCGTGGGTGGGAGCTAAAGGGTGGAGTAGGCGGGTAGGGTGGGGGGACAAGTTTTTCAATCTTTTTGTGTAAGCTTGGACTTACTTAACGGCCAAAACTATAATATGGGAATCTCCATAAAACCAGTAATTACAATGAAACTTGAGACCCTACATGTATAATTTAATCCCGCCACCATCCACGGCTGTTTTGGCCCTTTATAAACACCTCCATTTTTCTCAGTCCCTCACTTCAAACTTCAGACATTACCACCAATGGCTACATTCCCTTCAATCCCATTTCTTATTTTTATAATTTCTCTTCAAATCCCATCCCTCATTGCCTCATCTCCAACAGTACAAAACCCAGAATTCGTAGTCGAAGAAGTACACAGGTACGTGCATGTGCATGTTTATTACATGACGGAGACGGAACTTAACTGTAATAATATCGTTCGTAAACTAATTTGATTTTTTTTTCCAAATGCAGGAAGCTTAATGCATCCAGGAGGAAACTAGGATTCCTTTCTTGTAACACAGGTAATCCCATTGACGATTGCTGGCGGTGCGACTCCAACTGGGAGACGAACCGCCAGAAGCTAGCGGATTGCGCTATAGGGTTCGGGAAAAACGCAGTTGGTGGAAGAGATGGTAAAATTTACGTTGTCACGGATTCCGGTGATGATAATCCAGTGACGCCGAAACCGGGGACTCTCCGGTATGCCGTCATCCAAGACGAACCTTTATGGATCATATTTGCTAGAGATATGGTGATCCAATTGAAGGAGGAGTTGATTATGAACTCATTCAAGACCCTTGATGGAAGGGGTGCTAGTGTGCACATTGCTGGTGGTCCATGCATTACTATACAATATGTTACTAACATTATTATTCATGGAATTAACATACATGATTGTAAGCAAGGAGGGAATGCTATGGTGAGGTCCTCCCCAGGGCACTACGGGTGGAGGACCTTATCCGACGGTGATGGTGTGTCGATATTTGGCGGGAGCCACGTGTGGGTAGATCATTGCTCGTTGTCTAATTGTCGCGACGGTTTGATTGATGCCATTCATGGGTCCACTGCTATTACCATTTCAAACAATTATATGACTCACCACGATAAAGTCATGCTTTTAGGACACAGTGATACCTATGTCCAAGACAAGAACATGCAAGTTACAATTGCCTTTAATCACTTTGGTGAAGGGCTTGTTCAAAGAATGCCAAGGTAACATCGACCCAACAATACTACCATTTTATCTTGTTCAATACCGTGTTTAAAATACACGCGGGACGTGATTTTTTAATATTATTAATTTTAATTTTTTTGCTATATGCAGGTGTAGACATGGTTACTTCCACGTGGTAAACAATGACTACACCCATTGGGAAATGTATGCAATTGGAGGGAGTGCGGACCCGACCATCAATAGCCAAGGCAATAGATTTCTTGCTCCAAATGACCGGTTCAACAAAGAGGTGACAAAACACGAGGATGCACCAGAAAGTGAATGGAAAAATTGGAATTGGAGATCGGAAGGGGACTTAATGTTGAATGGTGCATTTTTCACACTTTCGGGTGCCGGAGCTTCGTCGAGTTATGCTAAGGCTTCAAGTTTAGGTGCAAGGCCGTCTTCACTAATCGGTTCAATCACCTCCGGTGCCGGCGCCCTCCCCTGCAAGAAGGGCTCTCGTTGCTAGTGAAATTACTATATTGTCCTCTGCATTATTTCAAAATTTTACATTTTCTAGTAAAAAAAACCTCAGGATTTTATAGAATTTAAGAAAATTTATATATGGCCACGTATAGGTCCAAGAATGTAGTTTTCTATTGCTAGCCTCTCGTCTTTTTTTTTTTTTTTTGACTTGATTGTCAAATTCAACCTCGGCATGCTAAATCTGAACCGATGGAAGTTCTGTCGAGCTTGTAATTGGTTTTATGTGAAAGCAAGTGAAGAAGTGTTGATTATAGTTATGTAACTTATCTTTCTCTCAATTTTAAATAAATAAATTCTGTAACATTGTACGTGCAATTGATACGTAGTATTAAATATGATAATTCACGCATTATTATTTCTCTTTTCTAATTTATATCTTCTTATAACAATTATTCGAACGTAGGAAGCTCAGTACATAAATATGAGATAGAACATAGTACTACAACGTATATACAACGATCTTAACTTCAAGTCTTTGTACTATCTTTATTATTAAGACTTGACATCCATTTTAATATTTCCATCTTGTAAGAGAGGTGGTTCAAAACTTTATATGTTGGTTGCTTTCGGCGTGGAATTTATCTAATCACTTAATATACCCCAATAAGATGTTGGCTCGTTTGAACAGACAGTACTGTGTGCTCGTTGTTCGGTCTTAATACAGTAGAATTGCTCATTTGAGTTTAGGAATTCTAATATCATATTAAAATTAAGATTCCATTTTTAAAAAGTTGACTTTTTTTAAGGGAGGGGTTCAAAATCTTATATGCTGATTGTTTATAACAATTAAAAAAAAAATAATTGTCCCTTCTCTAACAATTACCCGGACAACACTAAAAATTGAATAATAGACTATATAATATACATTTACATATTTGCCCGAGCTTTAAAATTTTAATTCCAAGATAATAAGTTATTGTAAAAGTAACTCTGATATTATTGTAATTATTATGATAGGAACAATTATCTCGGTTCACTCGACATTTCAAATAATGTAGTTTTTGGTCTCCAACTTTCAAACATAAGATTTTGGACCCTCAAATGACGAATTCTGTCAATATAGACATTAAAATTGCATACGATTTTTGCATGACTTGAGCCCCTTTGAGCCCCATTTTTCGACAAGAATGCATTTTGAAATAAGATTTGATGGAGAACGTGAAGTTAAAAAATAAGAAAAAATTTTGGGTTTGTGTGTGATATTATTTCATTGAAGAATTAGTGATTGAAAATAAGAGAGAAAAAAAATATATTTTGAAAATAATGAGGACTAAACAAGGTTAAAACTGGACATTAAGTGAATTAAAGAGTTTGTCTTCTTACTTTAAATCATTTTAAATTGCATAAGATTTTAACTTCTACATTGACAGTTTCTATCACGTAAAGACCCATATTCATAGATTTAAATAGGTTGGGGATTATAAACTCACTTTTGAGTTTAGTGACCTAAAACTACACCAATTCTACCTTTCCTTACAATAGTAACTTATTTTAACCAAGGTCATGTTTGGTTGACTAAATTTTCCACGGAATTCGTTTTCTACATTTTCTTGATTTTTGAGGAAAAGTTTTTCCCATGGGTTTGGTGGGAAAAGCTTTTCTAGGTAGATTTTTTTTTTCTTTTTTTGCAATTGAAACAAATTATATCCTTTTAATAGATAATTTTCATGAAAAATAAAGCCAAACTAACGCCAAAGATCCAAAATTTCAATATTTTTCAGGCAAAAAATTATATCAGTCAAATAAAATTAATTGACAATTCCCTATAAAAAGGTTTTAGTTAATTCAATTTCCTAAAATTTATTTTCTTTTCACTCAAATTTTATTCTTATAATGAAACGAACTCTAAGTACTTATATCTAAGCTTAGTCAAAGATGCTGCTTATAAGGTTGGAAAATAGGCAAAATAAAAAACTCAAATGAGTCAAAGATAAGACAATTATAAAGGTTAAAAAGTTACCTACCAACCAAATGCATTAAGTTAAGAAGAGCAAGTTTAACAACTAGTTTCTAATTGAATCATCATTTGACATAAAAGGCCAAAGTTTATCATTAGGAGTGAGGTTAAACTCTGTTTATTTTATTTGAAAATTACTTTAGAGAGGGAATCCGATACTAATTCATCGACCACTCCAAGCAAGTTCATTTGATTCTTTTTTATTTTTGGATTTTCTCTTGTCTTAATAAATTATAACGTTCGATTCTTAACCAATATTTGCAAGTTACATATTTAATATGTGGAATTGAATAAAAATAAACTAAATTAAATAACAAATAAATATTCTTTAACTTGGGTGTTAGAATTACATTAACAACTACGAAAAACTAAATGCTTTTTCTTGATAAATTTAAAGTTAACTATGGGTCTGTTTGATTCTCATTATTGTAGAATGAGAATTAAAAATATATTCGTTATTGGACCCCACACAAAAGATAGAAATTCAAAATTGATGGCTTGATGTGATGAATAACGGTCATATTTTTCATTTTTGTGGATGAAAAATGAGAAACAAACGGAGGCTACATAAATAATTGCCGCCAGTGCATTTGATTCATTACTAATGTGTAATTGTACTTATAATACACACGAGTCTCTTTAATTTGTTAGTTACGACGGTGGAAAGTACAAATTTTTTTGAAGTTTTTATAGTTGGGGTAAAACATTTTTTTAATCGTGTTTCTCAAAGATGTTTAGTCACGTTGAGCCCCTGTTTGATCCACATTATTTTTTTTATTATCATTCTTCTATTCATTTTCAACCACACATTCTTCAATAAAATAATAGTTTTCATCACATCAATAACGTTTCCTTCTTTTTTAACCATATATTCCTCATCACATCAACAGTAAAAATGCATTCTTACTCCTAAAATGTGCTCCAAACATGTGCTAAATAAATGTAAAAGTTACTTTTAAGTAACTATATGAGTATATTAATATGGATTGAGCTGGGGACAATGTACGGAATCTTTTGTCTTATAATTTTATTTTCTCATGTGTTTAAAGTTTGAATCGTATTTTAAAAATATAAGTGAGTATATCTTATCCAGGCTCTCGCCTCCATCCCCATGCCGTCTCCCGGAAATTCCTAACGAGAAAGGCCGCTCCCAGAACCACTCCACGGTTACTATCCCTTATCTTAAGGCCCTTCTCCCTACCGACAGACCCCACAAGCAAGAACTTTTTTGTGGGTGGGAGTGGAAATTTTGGTACTCAAAAAACTTCGTGGAAATTTTGATGGGACAAAAAAAAAAAAAAAAGCAAAAGCAAAAGCACATGCCAATAATTTTGTTTTAATGGGATTACAGTGGGTTACAACTACATCGTTGACAAAACTATCTTATATTCGAGAAATTCAATTAAAGACTCACCTGTCGGCAGCAAGTTCACACTATATGAACACATAATATGATGAATTGAGATTTGAAAAAAAAAAAAAAAAATGAGCTAAGAATAGGGGAAATAAAGTATTTTTTGAAATTTATGGAGGCGAGAGAACATATAATATTTATGTACGTCTATTGGTGCTTAGCGCACCTGTTTAAATGGCGTTGAGACTCTCTAATTCATTGGAAATCAACTAATGAGGTTTACTGTCACTTAAACTGGATTTATACACCGATACTACTATATAACATTTTCATATTTTTATACATCTTTGCCTTCAAGAGTATTTAAAAGAATTTTCGACTACTGTCGTATTCATGTATAGTCTCCAATTTATTTATGTGTCGCATGGACTTGAGAAGATGTTGCACTAATGTAAGCAAATAAATTTGTCTTCTATTTGATGAGGTGTTCAACATAGTAACTGTAACACCCCAAATTTAGATATCCCAAACTTGTAAGTATTATCATTAATTTTCTCTCAAAATCATAAATGTGGCAAAATGATTAAATGTTTCTTCAACATAATAAATATCAATAACTCCATTTTTCTAAAAAAATAATCTGTACTTACAAAAATATAAGATAACTAAACTACATGTTGAATTTATTTTCAAAATGAAGTCAATATTTAAACATGATAATACTAAATGAGTCCCATCACACGCCTAACAAGTAAACCTCATGCTTATGATATGTGTATGGATTACTTTAAAACAAAAGGCGTTTTCAATATGTCCATTTTTCTTCAATTTCTTTAAAGTTTAACATTAACATCGTAAACTCACTTGGTGTATCGCTTAACCAATTAGAATGCAGTGGACAATTATTATTTGTAACCCGGTTCGTTCTGTTAGTTGTACCGCAATGTGGTTAACATTAAAATTATCATTGAACATTAGTCGGGTGCATCGGTACCCCATGCCCCATTTTTCATTCACACCTTTCACGGCATAAACATATACCTCTTATAAAAAACATTCGGAATACATATTTTTAAAATATTCGTTTTCACATTGACATTAAAAAATTTTCATGTTTTGAAATTTCATGTATACTTATGAATGCATTGTCCTGAATAAATATATCTTAAGAAATATTATTGATATAAAGCGTAATGATTAAATATCACATTGACATAAAATTTAAATAACACATTTATACATTTAACAGTGTAACTTATACATGAAAACAAATGGAGGTTTACGTACTTAGAATGCTTATCAATATACCTTTCAAATAACAACTAGAGATGTCAGTAACCATCAACGAGATCAATGTACCAAGAATCCTAAGCCATTGCGACTTATTTAGGAATTCCAACATGCTCAATTCTTTATTTATCAATATCTATTTTGAATAGCTAGGAAGAAACATCAACATATATAAATTTAAGGGTAATGCTACAGGTACCTAACCATTCAGATAATGGTTCACATAATTACACGTGGCATGTGATCCTGCCTTTAATTCAACTTTCACACTTACACATCAATAAGTGGATGATTGCCACGTCACCGTTAGGTGAACCATTATGTAGAGGGTTTTGTACAACTAGATTAATCCTAAATTTAAAGGTCTACAAGACGCACTACA